CAAGGATTCTGAAGCTTCGTCTGACATACTTGGGCATGTTGCGAGGAGGGACTGGTCCTTGGAGAGGGACATCATGTTTGGCAGAGTGGAGGGGTGGAGAAGGAGACGAAGACCTTTGATGAGATGGATTGATTCTGTGACTGGAGTGGTGGGAATAAGTGCAAAAAAATCAACTTTAGAAGTAATTAATGGCATAAATGAAAACTCAGTTGAAACATTATCTTTTATCAAATGATTGTACTAAATTACTGCATAAACAGTTAAGTGGAAGCATCAACTTTTGAAAATTCCTGTAAGTAATCTGGCAATAGATAGCAGAATTTTCATGCCAGATTCTATAGTTGATTTTGCAATTCAGCTTTTCAGAATTTATTCTTGAGAAATAAATAGAGAATTATCTAAAGATTATAAATATATAAATACATATATATTCATTCACTGGAACTTTCTTTAGAGCAGCAAAAAAATGGAAAACAACTTATATGTCAAACAACAGAAAACTGAATGAATGAATTTTAATACACCTCTGTGATTGAATATTATGAAGCCATTGGAAATAATGTATTTTAAATAATGGTAATAATATGGGGAAAAGTTAAAATAATTATTAGCTGAATAATGCAGCCTGTGAAAATGTATACACTCTGTGATTTACTACAATTGTAATGGTAAAATCTTGAAACTGTAACAGTTGTACCTATCTACCTCTCTGTCTATCTATCTACTAATCTCATTCATTTTCATCAAATTGTAACTTACTGACTCTAGTGAGACTAGCTCAGGATATAGCAGAGTTCAAAGTTGCTGTACTTAGGGTCCTATGAGTCAAAGGTGGCTTGATGGCACATAACAACAACAATAAACAAAAATGTTATTAAATCTATTTTAATATTAATACATTAGCAAAAAGATGGACAATCTTGTCTTTTGTAGTTTACTGCCTCCAAAAAATCCACTGGAGGGTCAACTATGGGTCTATTCTGACTCAATGATATTTATCAACAACACCATAATCTTAATGCAATGATTATGTATTGTTTTATTATTTGCTCACTCATTATCATCTGTTAATTTGAATTTATGCCAGTTTGAAGACTAAGGTGTACCTGATCCAAATCATAATGATTTCAGTTACTTTCTGTGCATCTGAAAGTTGGCCAATAAATAAGGATAACAGAAGAATTGATGCCTGTGAGTTGTAATGTTGGAGAACAATGTTGACTATACCACGGACTGCCAAAAGGACAAAGAAATATGTCTTAGAAAAGGTGCAGGTAGCTCAGGTGCTCCTTAGAGGTAAAGATAATGCAG